TGTGGACTTCAACTCCCAGAATTCATGCTGGGAGTTGAAGTCCACACATCTTCAAGGGGTCAAGGTTGAGAAACACTGATCTAGTGCATAAGAGCCTCCTTTCAGATTGAAAAAGGAACTTGTTCCCTGCAAATAGTGTTTTTGACCTCTTGGTTTGACCACAGCATTAAAGTTGCACAAATGTGAGCCAAACTGAGGGTACAGTTTAGAGGGTGAGGAACAGATCAGGTAACAGTCACAGTTTCAAATTACTTACCTGCCATTAAACCTCACAGTTTTATACTTGGGTGCTATTAAAGACTTAATTAGAAGAGAAGACTGAGAACTATTCAATTCTTAGTGGGATTATATGAAATAAAAAGTAAATCCTTGGTAAAATATTCAGTTTGTTACTGCCGGCATTCTTCCTAACCAAGACAAGTTCAGCTTTCTTCCATCTTAAAATATCAGCTGTTATATTTTTCCAGATCTGCAAATAAGTTTTAAATAAAGTGTTATTGTTTCTAATTATGTAACTGGGTTGGTTTAGTACTGATATTAAACCTTGTTATTGGTTTCAGAAACTGTTTTCCCTCTTCAAATAGATTCCATGTAATTTTCTGTGTCTTATTCTTATTAATCCAATATTCTGATACCAAACTGTACTATTGTATATGTTTTGTTTTATTTTATATTTGGTTTTATTACACTTGTAAGGCTGCCCAATTCAAAATGACTCCAGACAATGCACAATGTTAAAAACATAAAAATTAACAAATAATTTTTTTTAAAAAGCAACACAGAAGACTTGATATACCCCACACAACAAGAACGAGGAAAAGGACCCCATTGTTGAGGACCCACCATCAGTTAGCCCAAAGCCTGGGAAGAAAGCCACGTTTTAAGAGCTCTGTTTAAAAAGTCAGGTTGGGAGCCATACAAATCGCAGGAGAAATGCTGATCCACAAGGCAGCTAACAATGACAGAAAAGGCATGATTCCTGGGTCCCATCAGATGACACTCCTTTATTGACGGGACCCAAAGCATGCTGACTGTCAGACTGAACAGGAAGGGCAGACACAATGGGAGAAGAATTCTGCCACTTTCCATTTCTAGCCAGAAATCATGGGCAGAGGGTCCATTAGCTCCTGGCTGGGTCTGGGTTGGGGATGATGGCCTGTGTTCCTACTCTCCACAAGTGGTGGGTGGCTGTTTGCACACTGGGATAAGCTGGAAATACAGATCTGCCTTAGACTTGGGTGACATCACACACAGTCAGACCGACACGCAAGCATGCAAGCCTGCAAAAGAAGACTCTGGTTCTAAAATAGCTACAAAAGTTCCATATCCTGATTTTTAAGAGATGAGGTGAGCTGAAAAAAAAGGGATAAATAAAAAAGGTTTGCTGCTGAATGCCTATTGTTACCGTTAGTATTCAATCTGAAAACAGGTAGCAATTAAATTTGAACCATGTGCTCCTAACCTACAGTCAGCTCTTATTCATACGTATACCAAATGTTCCACTCCAGGGTCTCGTTATGAACATTGGTGTGGTCTTTTTATCTGCTTTTACTAGGAGATTTGTTAATGGCACTACTCATTACATTTCCTGCCACATACAAACTGTAATTACACTTAATTTTACTTAATTAAAATGTTCTGATTTTCTGCTACTAAATGTTATTATCTATCCTGAACCTTTTGGGACAGTGCAGGCTAAAAAAAAGCCTGTTCAAGAAAGAAGATGAGTGGGAAACTCAAGGCGTGCAGAAACGTGCCTGAGTTTTGATCAACAACAAGAGTTGTAACAAAACTGGACTTGACTCTTAAACTCAAGAGAAAGGTTTCTAGAATGAGCCAGGTTGGAGCACATGAATGGAAGACTAACTGCTCACCAGATGTTGTTGAACTACAGCTCCCAGGTTCCTTCACTGTTGATGCTGACTACATTCGCTTGGAATTATGGTTCAATAGAAGAATATATATTCAGCTCAGGGTTGAACTGTGGAGTCCTTGGTGCTCTCTGAGCTTGGTTGTTTTCTTGCAGACGTTGCATTCCCTGACTAGCTAACATCATCAGTGTGAGTCTCCCCACCACCACCACCAGTTCAGCAGCTGAAGTACATTTCTTTGGGGGAACAGGGGTGTGTCTTTTTAATTGGGTGAAATTGACACAAGTTCTACCAAGTTTCCCTTTTTGGTCAAAATAACTGGAAGAATTGTAAAACTGGTGTCTTCTTTTTTTAACCAGTTCACAGAAGACTTGCCCCCAGAATGGAAAGCAATTGGCACTTCTTTCTTGGCACTGATGGGAGGGGAAAAGAAGCAGGGGCATCCAGTAGGTGGGAGCTGTGTTAACCACCAGCCAGACAGAACCCTTGGCCATGGAAGTTCAGACGGTCTCTTTGGACCACTCAATTTAACCTGCTCCACACCTTTGTAGAAAACATGCACACTCCAATGCATATTCTGGCCCTTTTGCCCTTTTTTACCACAGCACTGGAGATGAACAGTTCTATATTTTAATCATGCAAACAACTCATTTTCTTCTCATCCGAGGCATTTGAAAAGGTGAAACTACCTAACAATATAATTATACTGTTAATATTGGTCTGTACTATGTTCTATTTTTATTGCTTTGCTTGTACTGCACTGGAAGATAAGTGCATACCAAATAAAAATACAAAATACGAATATTTTGTGCCTTCCATTTCTTCCTAATGTGGCATTTGTCCCCAACCTCCTGTTTTTCAGTTTGTAAGTGTCATATTATGCCTCAGGTTATATTCTGGCTAGCAGACCAAGTTCTGTTTACAGTCAGAGTCTGTGGTTTGGTCTTAATTATGAATTAGTGTACACTCTTACGAATCTATCCTTTCCCAACATGTTTGGGATCATTGTTTGGTTTTGTCTGCTTATTTAAATAGGTTTTAAAAACCCAGCTTCCAACACTTCTAGGTGTTTTATACTCTTGAAAAGCTGGAACAATGAAATAAAAGAACAAAGAGACATGCATCTAGAAAAAGAAGAACCATACAAAACAAAATCAAACCTTACAGAGGCTTACCACCTTCCTATCCCAATGCCTGGTAACCATCATGGCAAGAGCCATATGGATCTCTAGGGGATACCATTCCAGGTGCTGTGACAGAGAAGACACACTTTGGGAGTCCCACCAGATGGCATTGTTTAATTAAGAGGACCTGAAGCACACCCATTCTGCTGGATCTTACCAGATGGACAGAAATTATCAGAGACAGATAGTCCCTCAGGTAACCAACTCCTATGCCATAAAGGACTTTATTGAAAGGCAGCCAGCACCTTGAATTGCACCCAGAAACCAATCAGCAACCAGTGCAGCTTTCAGAACAGTAGTGTCCCATGGGCATACTATGGCATGTCCATTATTGCCTATACCATCATATTATGGACCAGCTATAGCTTCTAAGTGGCTTTTCAGGAGTGGCCCTATGTAGAGGGCACTGCAATAGTCCATTCCTGAGGTGATTAGGGCATGACTGTGTGAAGGGCCTCCTGATCCAGGAATGGGTGGAACTGGTGCATTAGATGGATCTGTGCAAAGGCCCTCTTGGCACAGCTGCCACCTGCTGTTCAAGCAGGAGCTATGACTCCAAATGCAGCCCCAGCCAAGACTAAAGATGGCAGTTCCCCAGGACCAGGGGCCTAGATATCCACAGCCTAATTCTGTTCTTCTGCATCTAGTCCCACACAGCTTCCAGACACCGGGACAGGACATCAACAGCATCACTTGCACAGCCTGGGGTCAAGATATATAATTGAGTATCATCTGTGTACTGATGATACATCACCCGAAACCAGCCTCCTACCTCACCAGTCACATGTACAGGAGAGCATTGAGTCCCATGATACCCCACAGGTGAGGGGCTGTGGACTCAATCTCCCCCCTCCAACGGTGATTGGAACCAGACACAGAGAAAGGAAGAGAACTACTATAACATGGTGCCCCCCATCCCCACAGCTTGTCTAGAAGGATACCATGGTTGCCGATATCAAAAGCTGCCAAGAGATCAATGAGCATAAGGATGGACACCCCACCCCAATCCCAACTCCAACAAAAATCATCAAAAAACACAATGAATGACATCTCAGTACTATATCCCAATCTGAAGCCTGACTGAAATGGGCCCAAATAATCCTTTTCCTCCAGGGCCTTCTGGAGCTATTACCCAACCATCTTCTTAACAACGTTTCCTAAAAAGGGAAGATTAGGAACTGGACAAAAATTATCCAGGCTTATTGGGTCCAGTGATGGCACATCATTACCTCCTTCAAAGCTGAAGGGACCACGCTCTCTCCCAAAGAAGCTGACATCACCACATGAACCCAACTACAGTACAAATCACCTCCTGGGCAGGGAAGGACCTGGATCTAATAAACAGGCGGCCAACCTCAGAGTCTGAAGGACCCTGTCCACCCCATCAGGAATCACAGACTCAAACTTATCCCAGATCAGCATACAAAAACCATGCCCCAGGAACTTCAGCTGGGTTTGTCTAGTTTGAGTTCAACTCTGAGCAAATTAGAGTGAATTTATCTGCCAGATAGTGAGAATATTCTCCCCAGCAGGAATCAAGTCACTTAAACCGAGCCACCAGATGGCTATGGGCAGATGCAACAAGAATGGAAAAATAATGCAGTTTTGCTGCCTTATCACCACAATGTAATCCTGA